TCCTCTCTACCTCAGCTGGAGCCCAAAGTGAGTGACTGCACACGAAACTTTTTTCCTTGGCTCTTTAAGAGTATGCCTGCATTTGTAGCAGTCTCTCCCTGGCAGATAGAAACCAGCTGCTTTTCACAGCCAGGTGTTATGTGGTCACCTTTCTCAGTTCTGGTACCCTTGACTGGGAAGCCCAGCCTGGGGTTTAGGCCCCAGCATCTTCAGTGAAAACCCCCTACAGCTGAGATATCTCTCAGGATGTTCAGCTGCTGCTTGTAGATGCCAGTCAGCCCTCTTGCACCTCTGCACTTCCTACCAGTCTCTATGCAGTTTCCACTTTTCCTCCTCGGTTATGAGGGTGCTCTCCAGCTCATCCTCAGTTGGTTTTCAGGCTGGTTTTTCCATATTTTTGTTGCAACTCCAGTTTTGTCCCAGAAGAATGTCCATGTAGCTTCCCCTCAGTCCACCATCATCTTTTATATCTTGTTGGGCAGATTCTATTCAAGTAAATAAGAACCTTCCCTTATATCCACTGTGGAAGTTATTGAATATCCAGCTTGGTAACATTTCTGCTTTTTTCTTTAAGGATTCATCTATAAACCAAATTAAGTCATCATTTTTAAGGAATTTTATAAAACATTTCTAAGAATAAGAAGGTTGTCAGCTCTGGCTGGTTTGGCTCAGTGGTTAGAGTGTTGACCAGAAGACTGATGGTCATGGGTTTGATCCTGGTCAAGAGCGCATAACTTGGTTGTAAGCTCAATCCCCAGCGTGTTCGGGTCATGTGTGGCAGGGAACCAATTGATGTGTCTCTCTCTCGCATCAATGTTTCTCTCTCTCTGTCTCTCCCCCTCCCTTCTACTCTCTCTAAAAAATCAATGGAAAAAATATCCTTGGGTGAAAATTAACAAAAAAAAAGTATTCTTTTTTCAAACTGAATAATAACATAGTTATTAGAACACAGTTGTTATTGAGGGAGAGTCAAAACGACCAATTGACTTTGCTAGAGACACCCAGGGAAAAGAAACCATGGGCAAAGAGTCCCCGCTGGGTCAGCCAGGCATCTTCCACCAAGCTGGCAGGGAGACGGCCCCTTCTAGCAAGCGGGGTGTTGAGGGAGTGTCAGGAAATGTCAAGATAAAGAAAAGTCCTAGACTGAGTGGAGAAGACAGTGCTCCAGTAAGAAGGGCTTGTGGAGTGGCCTCTGCTCGATTTCGCTGAGAAATGTCTCAGAAGGAGGCCGGCTACGCTTAGGATGCACAAAAGAAGATTATCTTGTGACAGGGCTCCGATAGCTCAATCCCGCCCCGTCCAGTGGGCAGAGAAGCATTTGGTGATAATAAAAATCAGGCCTCTGCTTCACTTCCACGCTGACTGCTTCATAAAGATCCGTCTCTCTGTGCCGAGTTCCCTAACAACATAATCCCCCCAATACAGGCGATTCTTCCCGGATAAATGGCTCTTTGTTTGTTAAACTGATTTATTTATCTCCTTCCTACCTCCCCCTCCTCAGTAACTCGCTCCCTCCAGCATTTTTCTCCTGCTCTAGTCAATTCTGACTCTTTTGCCAGAGTCTCCCCGACACTGCTCCCTGCCCCACGCCCATACATGTTTTCCCTACGGATATCTTTGAAAGTCTTTATATAAGACTAGGTCTGCATTTTATTCAGGAAAAAAATAAAAAATTAGACTGAAGATTGAGAAGTAAAAGGCAGGTATAATCGGGTTTAAAAAAAATTGAGATGCAAAATGCAAAATATCTGCATTGAAATTCTCAAAAGAACTAATCAACTATATAAAAAATGCCCTCCCTTATTTTCTTTATAAAATGGTAATCTCAGAATTTATTGCCTTTAAAATGGGATCTCTTTTTTTTAAGTTCCTGTGATATAAGGCACTGAATTAAAAATCTACAGCTGCTCTATTTAGTGTGGCTATTAAAATTAAAATTAATTAAAATGAAATAAACTTACAAATTTAGTTCCTTAGCAGCCACATTTCAAGGGCTCCATGACTCCAAATGACTGGTGGCTATGGTCTTGTCCAGCACAGACACAGAACATTTCCATCACTTTGGAAAGGTCTGTTGGCTAGTGCTGGTGTAGATGAGCGTCATGGAGATAAGCAAGACAGACTGGCTGTTTTTATAAATAAAGTTTTATTGGATCATAGGCACACCCATTTGTTAACATATTGTCTATGGCTGAATTTTGTTTGATAGCAGCAGAATTGAGTTGTGGCAACAGAGACCATATGACCTGCAAACCTCTCAATATTTCTTATCTGGCCCCTTACAGAGAGTAGTCACCGACCCCTGGTCTAGAGGCTAGTTCTAGACCCCAGTAAGGTACTCTCTATCTGCGAAACCCTGAGCAAACGTCTTTAACCCTGGATCACAGCTTTGCCATCTGTAATATACAGGTGAGAAATAAAAAACATAGGGGTTTAAAACAATTACTGTAGCTCTGGCCAGTGTGGCTCAGTGGTCAGAGCGTAGGCCTGTGCATCCAAG